GCGATCTGAACACCGACCGTAATACGAAGATAGTACAAAACGATAAAATTAATTTCGCAAGATAGATGTTGAATATAACAGTAAGTAGCTCAATATCACACACGCGCAAATAGCATACCTGCCCATATAAGGAGTTCTCGACAGTACTTGCGAACCTGGGCAGCCCCAAGCGTGTTCCAAAGCGTTAAGGCAGATGGGATGGATAAAGCTGCGCTATAATCAGACGTTCCTATCGAATGTGGCATTGGTGGTAGGACGATTTGAATATATATATCGATGTAGAGAGCTATACTATGTCACTGTCACGTCTGTATTAAATACTGGATTCTGACCGAAAGGCTCCTATACAATGCTGGCCACATGTATGTTACCTGGACCACCATAGTGTGTACGTGATGAATATGGAGAGTATATGGTGAAGAATACACTGGTCTCCAAAACGCAAACAGCGCTTCATACCCTGATAGTGACCACACTCCCAAAGCAAGCAGCGCTCAATACCCAGACAGTGTGTCTATGCACATCTTTAGACTGAGTGGATGTGAATAACAAAGGCGTACAGATGGCACGCTAAGCAATACAATGTGAACACGACAAGTGTAGATGCGAATTTTTAGGTGCACGTGTTCGAATAAGAACTGTAAGTACTTGCCAACTTTCACGAGTGACAATGACACAAAGGCTGGGATGCTTGCCCAGCAATATAAGTTAGGGGGTACATAAACTCTCTAGGGACGAATGTGGCCCAATTTACGGTCGCGCTCAAACAGTTTATAGCGAAGCTCTAAAATAAGTGACAACTACTGATAAGATAGTCATATACAAGCAAAGCAAAACAAAACAAAACATTCGCCTCCAGCCTTGTTGACCCGGCCCACCCAAATTAGTACGTCAAGCTTCAATTCACCTCTGGATGGGGCCATACGTACACAAACACGATCTAGCAATTCACAAATAGCACCCAAGCCTATAAATAGATTCTATAAATAACCACACAGTCCTTACCCTGCCACATGAACTCGCTCACAAACCCCTTGCCCCACCCGTGCGATATAATGACCGGTCGAAGCCATTTTTGGACCTCTGCTGTGGCCCGGACAAAGCCTATGCCTTTCGGACAAGTGAACCATTTGTGGCAGTTCGATATATACACATCTGCACCCAGCGATCTCAGGTTCAGGTCAAATTGCCCTAAACCGTGCGCACCGTCGACTACCACCAGGCACCCCCTAGGCAAAGTGTAGTGGCAGAAAGAAAATGCGTTACTTACGCTTTGTGGAACATCTTATTGGTTTGTACTGAATTGGATGCACTCGATTTTATTTTCAGAGACTCACCCAAGAACGACCCAGTAATTAAGTGTCAAGTAAATGTCAATAATCATCTATAACCACGGACCTAAGAAAACAATCAGGACCATCCATCCAAATGTATTCAAACGTCATCTGCTATCATCTAAGGCAATTCAATGGTAATACTCGGGATCTTGATATTACAACTCACCTCCTGTGGCACAGATCCGTTAATTCCTGGATTGGCAGAATAATGGCTGCAATGTAATGTTTGCACGCAGGGTTTAGGGTTTAGGGTTGTTTGTTAGTAGGATCAGAGTTTCTTGTAGGCAATAGGACACTGGCGCATTTAAAGAACCGTTCAATTGTGCGGACATGTGTGTGTGCGCGTATATCCATGCACATATGTACACACTTCTTTGCACTTTCTATAGGTACTGTCAACAGAAGACGTACTGCTGTCCTTCGCGATGGGGTTAAGTTTAGCACACATGGTGTCATAGACTTGTGTGCACCTCCAAGGCTTAATGACTCAGCGTCGTATATACCACACTTTGTCGTATATACAAAACGAATCTCTGAGATATTAGCGGTAGAAATCAAAACCAAAAAAGAAGACTCAGAAGTCGTAAATACCAGGCAATGTTGCAAATAAACAACTCACCCGTGTTGCTGGTCACGTGATCAAACACAGCCACCTTTGCATTGACGGGCAACTCTCGCTCAACCAACGCCACAAACTATACATTGATCAGAAACACGGATAAATGGTACGTTGTCAGTCAGTATTGGAGTGAGTGTCTGTGGACTTAGGGTTTTAGGGTTTTTGGGTTGTAGGGGGTTAAAATCCTAGAACCCTTGTGGTTAAACATATAGCTGTATATAAGTTGTACTTTTGAACCGGCGGGCTTCTACACCAATGAGGTCATCGCGAATACGAGAACATATCCCTTTGATTGGAGGTGCATCCATGAACCAGTCGCAATGAGTATTTTTGGTAGGCGGAGATGCTGTAGGCCAACTCCATACGCGTTCAAATGGTCAGTGCAACTTAACTGGTGGATATTAATAGATCAACCAGGATATGCGATCATTGGAGCAATGTGTCTGGGCATGAGGTAATGAGGTATGCGTGTATCAGTACATGAGCTGAGTGCGCCTGAGTTGGGTTTGGATGTACGAGCACACCAAGTACGCCCACAACAGTGTACATACAATATATATATTCGGCCTATCTAAGCAGAAGTACACGTGATTGGTTCGCTAATATTTGAGCATGCGAGATCCATGCATCCCACACGACCACTTGGAACGTATATAAAGCCATATTACTTGGAACGTATATATACCCATATTACTTGGAACGTATATATGCCCATATTACTTGGAACATATATATACCCATATTACTTGGAACATATATATACCCATATCACTTGGAACGTAAATATACCCATATTACTTGGAACGTAAATATCCCCATATTACTTGGAACGTAAATATCCCCATATTACTTGGAACGTATATATACCCATATTACTTGGAACGTATATATACCCATATTACTTGGAACGTAAATATACCCATATTACTTGGAACGTATATATACCCATATTACTTGGAACGTATATATACCCATATTACTTGGAACGTATATATACCCATATTACTTGGTACGTATATATACCCATATTACTTGGAACGTATATATACCCATATTACTTGGAACGTATATATACCCATATTACTTGGTACGTATATATACCCATATTACTTGGAACGTATATATACCCATATTACTTGGAACATATATATACCCATATTACTTGGAACGTATATACACCCATATTTCTAAGAGTGTGGTAGATATTTGTTCCAATCCGTTGAAGTTTGGGATGCATGTGTGGGCATCAGTGGTGAGGAGACACACGTGCATGGTCCCTTATGTGCAGGTGATGAATTCTATCTGCAGAAACTTCATCCACGCAATAGAAGGTCACCGTATAGTCAGGAAAAAGTTTTCATAAACGTACTAGTGGCGTGCGTTTATCTATCCACACCTATATACAAATATACATACATTTCGCACCCACATACATATATATGTATACAAATCAAACCCTCATACAGATACACATACACTCGCGCATATACGTCCCGCCACACGTACAGGTATGTGCATCTGCAAAACGCCGCCCATTCACACTTACATACATCAATGGTCGATGAGTTATGTGCGAACGTAATTTGCGCTTCACAGTACTCCGCCCCCGTGCGACGACAGGACTCTTTGGCCATTTTTTTAACTGAACCTATCGTTCAACATCGGATAAGGGACGATATGATTGATTAGATATATTTATTAACTGGACTGAGAAAACAGCTATAATACGCTATGATATATATATATACATACATACATACATACATACATATATATATATATATATATATATATATATATATATATATATAATATGCAGACATACATACATTCGTACCTACGTACATACATACGTACATCATACATACAACATGCATACATGCATGCATACAAACACATATACATACATACGTACATACATATATACATACATACATATATTACACATACATATATACATACATATATACATACGTACATACATACATATACTCATACATACACACGTACATAAATACTCAACAACACACACGAACCAGGTGTCACACCCCACTGCGTGTTCTATTTTATGGAAAGGCAGCGTTGCGTACACTTATATCCGGACATTTAGATACAAAATAAAGAAGCACTCACCAACACACTCAAAACCACACACCCACACACCACACACACACACACACACACACACACACACACACACACACGCACACACACACACACACACGCACACACACACACAATATATATATATATATATATATATGTATATATAATATACATGTATATATCACACACTATACCATACGATAGGCTCAGGATAAACAGGGAGTCTTCGGCAGTGAGTGGTATGCGTTGGAAGACGGCGTTGAGCCCAGAAGTGGCGTTTGGTAGCAGACCGAGATCACAGGCATCCGTTCCTGCCGAATGAGTACGCCACAAGAAAAAATCCGACGAATCAGAACGCAGAATCCGACAATCGCAGCAATGTGTTCATAGGACCAACGATGGATATATATTTGTCGCATTCCTATAGCACTGTGCACGTCCATCCACCACTCGTACAAATCGAGACCAGTCTGATCGTATCATGCGAAAGACATAACTGCACATCACACACGAGGCGTGTTGCTAAGCAACCGGCATACCATGCATGTTGCTAAGCATCTCACATGCTTAGACATGCATTCCATGTACATAGGCACTTTGTGTTAAATTATATACTATTAACGAATATTAAAACTGTCAAAGCCGGCAACCATTTAACGTATATTGTTTAGGATTTCTATGCAGATATGCTCCACAATGTAGCACCTCCGTAGAATAACGTATTCAGGTAAGCTCAAGCACACAACCAGGTGAGGACATGTGCAAGTGTGTAGGGGTGTAGTAGCTAACACCGACACACAGGACGCGCCTGCTGATACATATAGAACAGAGATTTGTATCCAATTATGCACACAGACACACACAGACACATACACATACACACAGACACATACACAGACATAGCCACGGCCACAGCCACAGACACAGACACACACAGACACACAAACACACACATATATATATATATAGCAACTACATACCTACGTGTTGTGCGAGTAGTCGGGTGACATGAGCCATTTGCGGGAGAAGCACTCGGTCTATGTAGCGCAACGGTTGACTCTCCTGTGAGTGCGCAGATTAATGCACAAAGTTAAAACAACCCGTGTTCAAAGCGGTGCTGGCAAATTGGAATATCTACTTCGACAGGCGAGGATAGGTAGGTAGGTCTAATATAAGTAGGTAGGTATACGATAGGTAGGTAGGTATACGATAGGTAGGTAGGTCTACGATTGGTAGAGAAGATAGAGGTAGGTCTAAGATAGGTAGGGAGGATAGGTAGGTAGGTCTACGATAGGTAGGTAGGGAGGATAGGTGTAGAAACATGTACCTAAGAGGTTCACATAACACCAGAAGACAAAGTCACAGAATACAACCAACCAACACACAAAAAGACATACACCAAATGAACACAATACTCAGTAAATTAGTGCGTAAGCAGAGGTGCACATCACCAGATATTCATACATACATCAATATATAATATATTTATATTCACGCACGGAAATCGAGGCTGTAGTAGTGGGAACGAGAATGAATACAATACATATACCCACACAAGGGAAACAGACAACACAAGTGCAAAAGCATACTACGAAGCATACAACGCTCCACAGCGAAGAACTATATTACAGGCCAACATAACAGACCATAGACACCAAACAGTCCGATGGAAGGGAGGATATATATATATATATATTTACACACACACACACACACACACACACACACACACACTATATATA